CTCCTAGTATGCTGGGCTGGGGCTCCAACCACCCCGCCACGCGCCCCAAGCCGCTGTGGGGGTGGGGGTTTGTGGGGGGTGGAGGTCCCCAAACTTTAAAAGTTGCTGAGGTTGTGAAAGACAGTCCTAAATCATTGTATGATTAATTGGGCTCATGATGGTTGGGAAATTCTCTTGCACAATCTGCCCACAACATGAAGCAGATGGAGACAAGATCCTCCTTGGGTTCGTTCCAAGAGAACATGGATTTGCATTGCATCTTCTCTTGCTCCTAAATGGGACTCCGCACCCCTGGGAGCACCTTCACATCCCGCTCCCCACTTGGGGCGTCCGGGGTTAAACCCCCCTCCTAATCCTTCCCAGGGTTAGAGCCAGCCCTACATCCAGTTCTCAACGGTGCAACGTAAGCAGGGCTGGCTGGCGGCTTGGCCCAGGAAAGCAGACAGGGGTGTGCAATGGACACAGGGCCTCCTCGTCTGGACTGGTGCCCTTGGTACCAATGTACCAAGCAGGTATGGTCAAAAGAGTCAAGATGGCAGGCACGCCGGTGCAATCCAAGCTGCACCTGTTTTTATGTGTGTCGCCCTTAAGAAATAGGAAATGCTTTGATTGCACCGCTGTGGCCACCATGTCGACTTTTCTGACCATACCTGGCAGACAGACACCTTTGGGAGCAAGAGCTAACAGAATGGCCAGCTGGCATCCGGTCATGGGAAGGTGAGAGGGCACGACGGCCTTTCGCCATTCGCTTCGGCCAGCTCTCCGCCGTGGCCCACCTGCTTGCTTTCTGCACCCCTCTCCAAGATAAAACCTGATTTGAGCTCAAAGGGAAAATCTCCCTTTCAGGCTTGACGTCCTGAAAACGTCCATGTCATTTCCTTAGCCGCAGCGGTCGTATGTCATTACTTTTTGGCTTCCCAGTCTAGCCTACAGCCCTGGTGCTTCTTGGGTCTCCCATCCAGACATTAACCCAGCTTGCTTAGCATTTCTGAGATGAGCCAAGGTAACTGCACTTGATAAGATGCAGTTTATGGCATTTCTCCAACCCCTCAAACTTTCTGCAATCCGTTGAGAAATCTAGTCTGCATCACAAACTCCACGCAGAGGGTTCTGGGCGTCCACAGATTGCAAACGGTGCACAATGCACACGTCTTTACTCTGTGGCCAGAACACCGGTGCGTCTCCGAGCATACACACAGGCTGAACATCCAAGCTGCACGGTCTCTGTATCAATACTGCATTTTTTCAGCTTAAAGTTCTTCTCCCACTCTTCTTTACCTTGCAAGGTAGGCCGAGAGAGAGAAAGAGGGAGAGAGTGACTAAGTGAGAGATGTTCATGCAACTTTATCAATCCCGATTAACAAACCACAATTCACAATGTCTGCTCAAGGAGATTAATCATATTATGACTAAACAGGACAGCTGGTAGCACAATCTGTTCAGATCCCGGCTGGGTTCCAACAACATGCTATTTAACCTCATTTTAGCCTAGCTGAGCAAGCTGTGTGAACGTGGCATAATCAGGAGATATTGGGTCTGCGTTGCTGGCATACAGAAGCCATTGTAATTATTTTGGCTAAGGGAAGAAAAAAAAACCCGAAACCCATTGCGAGATGAGAATTTTAACAAGGCAATAAGAGAAATGCAAATGGGCGTGCAAGCTTTGGAGCGCTCCAGAACTCTTCATCGGACGAGTGCAAAGTCAGGAGGTCCCAATGAACATGCAGGGGCAGGAAAAAAATGCTGTTAAGTAGAGAATTTAGCTTCCTGAAAAAGAGCAGCTCTCTGGATTCTTTAAACATAAGTTTCTAGTCCTCATGGTTGCAAATAAATACTTGAAACTGCTACAGGCTGAACATCCCAGGAATCAGGCATGGGGCTAGGAAAAATTTCATGCCAATGAACCAATTTTAAAAGATCATGCACAGAAAGCGGAATTTCCCCTCCCTCTTGCTGGGGTTCTCCCCTGCCCTTCGTCAGAGCTCCCTGCGACATACCGTGCCTGCTCTCCAATCTCCCCACCACAACCCTGTGAGGTAGGCGAGCCCGAGAGAAACAGAACTGGCCCAGAGTTGGCCCAGACTGCCAACCCAGCCAGTGAGTTTTGGGGGCTGATGTGGTGCCCCGACTGCCAAACCCCCAGCTTAGGCACGGCACACCCGCTTCCCAGCAAAGCCCCCTGTGTTCCTGGACATCGGGCACCCTTGCCCGGC